ACCCAATTTTCAGGGGAAATGAAGGTGCGTGGGCTCACTCTGCAGTTGGAGTTTTCAGCTCTGATAGTCTAGAATGTTCTCCATGAGTACAGATGCCACGTGGGTATCCAGGCAGTAGGAAGGGAGTCGCCCTATACTTTTGCCCATATATTTGCAGAACTCTTTGGAAAGGGTATTTCTAGATTACTATGCTCAAAATACAACAAAATTCAGTCGATATTGCTCACCAAGCATCCACGGGAGATCTTACGTGTAATAACCATAATATTAATCAACCCAGTTAATATTTAGATAGTAAAGGGGTGGAGGAGCAGGGAGGAACATGTCGCGCGTGGAAAAACTCAGGATGTAAAAGTAAATGCAGAACTCACTCCCCGAGGAACAGAAAAACGCATTCACGTCTCCTTCGGTGGAGAGAGGATAGAAACCAAAGTGGCGAGCGTTGCGACCAGCCATCGCGACATTCGGTCTGATCTCAGTATCAAGCGGAACTGGACCACAACCCAAAGAAATAAACTTTTTCCGGAGCAAAAAGCTGCTCCTGATTTCAAAGAAAAAAAATAAATAAACTCCTCAGGGGTAGAATATGGCCGGGGGTGGCGGAGAGAGGGGACCCCCGGGAGGAGGGTCGCGAGTCCGGCTCCCGGGCTGGCGAGCGCGCGCGGCGACACTGCCCGCAGCGCCCACCCCGAAGGAGCCGGACACGCCGACGCGCCCGCGCCGCGCCGGCCCCCTCCCCCGCCGCTTCCTCTGGCTCTCCCAGCCCCTTCCCCCACGTGTAGATGACGTCAAAATTCCGCGAAAAAGCCGCGTGGTGGCTCCCCGAGCGGAGGCGCGATTCCGCCGCCCCGCGGCCCCCTCCTGGGGGCGCCTGGGGGAGGAAGGAGGCCCGGGGTGCCCGGTTCCTTTTCCTCCCCGAGCCCTCCCCCCCTCCACGCCACCAGCCGGACGCCCCCCACCCCAAATCTTACTGGAAAATTCACTTTTTTAAAGCAAATGCATTTCCAGGGCTATTTTCGGCGCTGTGAGGCGTGTCCTGAGCTGAATTAGACAGGAAGAGGGGAAATTCGGGTCTTTTTCAATTTTTTCCCCCGAAGGGAGGGGAGTAGGACGCTAGGTGGGTGAACAGACGGCAGGCGCTCGCCCTACTAACCCATGCCTAGCGCATCTGCCGCCTCAGGAATGCAGACCCGGCCCCAGCCACAGGGCGGTTGGCGTGAACAGGCCGGGCCGACTCAGCCCAGTGCCGCCGCGGGATCGGGCTGCGACCGGGGAGGCCGGAAGCGGGTTCACACCTGCAGTTGCCCGCCCGCGCGCTGGGGAGCCTCGAGTCCTGGTCCCCACCCACTCTCCTTCCCTGTGCACTCCCGTTCCCGACCTTTCCCTTTTCCTTTCTCCTGTTTTTCTACTTTGCCTTTGCTTCTACCCCATTCCTGTTTCGGTGCCTCCTCTGACATCGCCATACCCTTTTATTAGATAACAGTCGGATTTGGTGTTTTGCTTGACCAGCCCACCCCTCCAAGGGGAAACACAAACAGCTCTACTCTTTGGGGGAGAGGGGGCAAGGCGATGGCGCGCACTCTTGGGCCAGACTTAAGTCCCCTTCTCCGCCACACGGCCTGAGCGCCCCTGCCCAGAGGCGGAGGGACTCGAACCCGCGCAGCTCCAGAACTCTGAGCTGCCCGCAGGATCACCTGGCTGGCCAGCACCCGCCAGGTGAGCTTGGGAGTCTGTGTGTTTAGCATTGCAGGTTGTTGCAGAAATGTGCCTATAAACACCCGACACTCGGCTGCACCCTGCACCTACAGGGTATTGTGCACTTTCCAACCGAAACTCCAAAACGCGAGTAGTAGGGGGTGGGGAGCCAGCCCGTAAGGGAATAAAAGCCCAATAAAACTTGTGTTCACTAAAGTTTATCACCGATCTTACAAAGGACAGGATATATTTTTTCCTTGAGGGGTGAAAAAGGGATAAGGAAGAACAGACATTCTTTTTTGTTTTTTCCACGGTGGCCGGTTTTGACTTCAAAGTCAGAGCACAGGCGCTTGCGCTTTTTCTCTAAACCTAGGTCTACACTCAAAGAAAATGCGCACGTATGCCCAGAAAGCAACGTGCCTTTGCCCGCGTGCTAGGTGGAGTGCTTTTTAACAAGAAATTAAGGTTTTTATACATGGTTGGAGTGGCGACCAAAAAGGAAAACTCAATTTCCAATCCAAGCCTCCCGAGACATTCCTGCCAACCTCCGCACCCTCTCACGCCCCACCCCACGTGTTAGAGACTGAAGAACTACTGGGGGATTGATGCGACGCGACGTTCACGTTCGGGAACAGTCTGTTATCGGAAGGGGAAGTGAATGGGGAACTTAAAGAGGCGAGCTTGCCACGCGGGAAGCGCCCGAACTTGCGGGTCTAGCTGAATGAAGAGAGCGACCGGGAAGGCGGGGGGCGGGGGGAGGCATCCGCTTGAGACCCTCTCCGCCCCTCCCCTACCTCGGCCACCTCGGCTTACTCCCTCCACCCCCCACCCCCGCTGGAATTTCTCCGTAAAGCAAGAAGAGTTAGGGAGGAGGGGAAGAGGGAAGGGGCGTGAGGGCCCTTTGCTCACTCCTGAGATGTTAGAACTCGCCACCCAGGCTTTCTCTTAGGTGTGGGATAGGCCCCGGGGACGACCACCCGCCTGGTCCCTGCCCCCATTCGCGACTTTAGGAGGCCCAGAGCTCGGGATGTTTTCGCGTGGGGAGGTGGAGTAAAGACCGTAGTCGGTTAGCTATCCAGTGATGTCAAGACGCTAGAAGCCTTCCCCCAGCTTCTGTCCTTGTCTGTCGGGTTAGATATATACTTTAAAAATACCTCTCTTACTACCCTTTTCTCCACTCTTCCCCCCAGCCACTTTCTTTGATCCGCTCATAGGTGGCTTAGGTGATGTTTAAGCGATTCTCTTATGGAGTCTTAAAATGTACGTTAATGTATTTATCCAGAGTGACTCAAAAGCTTAAGTCGGGAAGTCCGACTTGACTAAAATCAATACATGATTGTTGGGGACACCAACTGTATGGCGATGAACACGGTCTTCGGCCCATGTGTCATCCGCTGCGCGGGACTGTTTCATTTTGAGTTTGCAACTTGGGTATTTCAGAGAGCTTTTTTTTCTTTCCGAAGGCTAATGGCTTCCACAGCAATTAGACATTTTCCTCGCCCGCCCCCTTCCCTCCCCTTTCTTTACGTATACTCGATTGGATACTAATTCCTGCTGCTATTGATAAGGTCAGAGCTGCCCGGCCTCTCCCCAGCCCCCGCCAGCCCTAGCGCCAGCTCTCTCTCCGCCTCCTTTGGCTTCCTTTTGATGTAGCGGGGAACGCGTCCTACTAAAAAAAAAAAAAAAAAAGTAATCTGCCCGGTAACAATCAGCGCGCAGTAGCAGGAGCCCCAGAGCTATTGGCTATGCAAATAGAGGGAGGGGAGACGGCGCCCCAAACTCTTACTCACCCTTTTAAAGCAATATCCCCCTTCTCCTCCCCCCACCCCTTCCGCCCCACCCTCGTTTAAAGGGGCTGGCTCCCCAGGCTGAGTTAATTGCTTGCACCTCTGGTTTATTCACTCCCCTCCTCCGCCTTTTAGGGAACCTAGCGAACAGCTCACCCAGAATGCCCCCCACCCCGCTGCCTGTCTCTTTGCCCCTTCGGGCCCCCTTCTTGGAGAAGGAGGTCTTCTGTTGGCCTCGGTGCGTCCAGACAACCCCGAGCCA